AACCCTTAAACCCTAAACCCCTAGGATAGCCAAACCTAGGTCACTTATTTCCCCAACTATAACCGCGCTCATGGAGTCCCTTGGGTTCCTTCAGTGTTCGTATCAGGGTAGCATAAGGGTTCAGGATCGAATATACTTGCGGCTTTCCAATCTAGGTACTCTTTAGGCTTAAGTATTTGCTACATGTGTACATGGAGCTTTCGGCTTATTAAGGAAGTGACTCCTAAACCCTAAACCCTAACATAGGTTTTTTAGGCTCTGGCTAACTAAGGCCGGTGGGTCATAAGAGCGCCTTGCAGACCATATCTGGAAGATTCCTTAGATTCAGAAACTTGGGGTTCAGGGTTTAGGGTTTAGGGGGTTTAGGGTTCAGGGTTTAGGGTTTGGGGTTTGGGGTTCACGGGGTTCACGGGGTTAAGGGTTACGGTATTTTTCCCGAAGGCCTTAAGGACTCTCATGTCCAGGCTTTTGGGGTTTAGTGTTTAGGGCCCTACCCTACGCCCTAAACCCTAAACCCTAAACCAGGCTTTTGGGGTTTAGTGTTTAGGGCCCCACCTTACGCCCCAAACCCTAAACCCTAAACCGGGCTTTTGGGGTTTTAGTGTTTAGGGCCCTACCCTACGCCCTAAACCCTAAACCAGGCTTTTGGGGTTTAGTGTTTAGGGCTTAGGGCCCAAATGACCAGCCTTAGGGTGCCTGGTTTTATGACAGATGTATACTATCGTATACTGCTAAGCCAAACCTGGATAGGAACCGTTTACAGGAATCCTTAGAGGGACCTCATTCTAGATCGTCAGGCCCTTATATCAGTGTCTTCCGAACCAGGTGTTGTCTGGCGCAGCCTTTTGCCACGAGCGCGGCATTCTTCACCGCGATTTGCCGCTTGCCTTAGAAGGCACGAAGTCCCTGCATGCCGAGGGGCGCCATTAATGGCCCTGGCGGCTTCGATATACGTAGTTTTTAACAACTAGACTCATGTATACATATATGTATACTTAGATCTGTGTCCGTTTATGTGTTTGTGTATGCATCTATTCGTGTAGCCTTATTTTTAACCATTGCATGTATGTAAAATATATGGATGCTTGTATGCATGTATGTATGTATGTCTGTGTGTACGTATGTTTGTATGAATGAATGTAGGTATGCATGTGGGTATGTGTGTATGTCTGCCTGTCTGTCTGTCTGTCTATCTGTCTGTGTGTCTGTCTGTCTGTCTGTCTGTCTGTCTGTCTGTCTGTCTGTATGTATGTATGTATGTATGTATGCATGTATGTATGTATGTATGTATGTAGTGAATGAGTGCATGTATGTATGTATGTATATATGTATGTATGTATGTATGTATGTATGTATGTATGTATGTATGTATGTGTGCATGGATGTATTTTGTACTGTGTTGCAGTGTAATGTAGTGTAATGCAATGTAATACAAGGTAATGTAATGTAATGTAATGTAATGTCATGTAATGTGATGTGATGTGATGTGATGTCATGCAATGTAAGTGTTTCTGTACGTGCGTATGTATGTATGTATGTATGCATGCATGCATGAGTGCATGTATGTATGTAAGTATGTAAGTATGTAAGTATGTAAGTATGTAAGTATGTAAGTATGTATGTATGTATGTATGTATGTATGTATTTATGTGGATGTGTGTATGTAGATTTTCGTGTATGCATGTTTGTACGGTTGTATGTACGGTTGTACCCATGTATGCATGCATGGCTGGAGTAAGCCGAAGCCACAAGCCACAAGCCTTAAGCCGTAAACCTCAAAGTGAAAGTCGTCAAGGAAGCCCGGCAACATCATGTTGGTGTGCGCGGATTTGCACGAGCAGCTCCTGGCTTTGCAACCATCCAGGGCTTAGGGCTCACAGTGTCTAAAGTTCTAGGTTGATAGAGTGTAGGGCTTCGGCCGTCAGTAGCATCGCTATGACTAGCATCAGCCACAGCAACTTCATCTCCAACATCGTCAGAGGCAATATCACATCACCGTCGTCATCGTCAGAATCAGTATCGTCATCCACAGGATCCAGAGTGGACATGCCCCGGGTTGGCATCCGAGACCGTAAGCCCTACCAACACCTAAACCCTAAACCCTAAACCCAAACCCTGCACCTTAATAAGCCGCAAGCCCTATAAACCTTACGCCCTACCTACGACCCTAAACTCTAGACCGTAAGGGTTTGGCACTTTGGAATTGCTCCTTGGGAGCTCGGGGAAGCTGTAACTAAACCCAAAAGGGTTTAGGGCTTAGGGTTTAGGGTTTAGGGTACATGAACGAGCTGTTTTTCGGGTCGGGGCTCAGTGTTGAGGGTTTAGAGTTTAGGGCTTGGTGTTTCGGGTTTTGTGTTTATCTATTAGGGTTTAGGGTTTGGTGTTTAGGGGTTGCGGTGTAGAGATTAGGGTTCAGTGTTTAAGGGTTAGGGCTTAAGGATTCGAGTTTAGGGTAGGGGCTTGTGGGGTGCCAGGGCATGCATATGTCGTGAGGTAGGTAAGTAGGCTAATGTCCCCCCTCTCTCCGACATTATTGCGCCTGTCATTGGTTGCTGGTTTGTGTTTATTTTAAACGACTTAACACAGGAGCCCTCGTCATCCGTGAGGGTTCGCATACCTGGCGGAAAACACTAGCCCTAGTGACCCCTAAACCGATAATCTAAATGGTCTAAAGACTTAGCCAGAAGATCCTGTGATAACTGTAGTAGCAAAAGCGATACCCGTAGCCCCAAAGCCCTACCTTCTCTAAGGGTGTATATAAACATACCGCAGTATGGAGCCTGAAAACGGTAGGCTTTTGGTGCTACAGGTGCACCGAAGCCCTGTTCTATATTTTTTCATGCCATTGAAGCACCATCAAACTATATAAACCCTGCAGGGCACACACAGTAGAACCCCCGGTAAATCCCTCCGACCTTGAAGCGTTAATGCGAAAGGCTTTTGGCCCTGAGCCGTAACCGTCCTTACTTGTACCATACCATAAACCACCCACGTCCTCACGCCCAAGCCGCTAAGCCTGTGGCGACAGCTATATGTATATATATATATATATATGTGTATATATATATATATGTATGTATATATACAGCTACAGTTTCACCGGAATGAGAATTGAAAATTACCCTGGACGCTTCTAAAACCCAAACCTCTAACCCGGTAAATCTGGGTATAGAAATATAGCTACAACTACCGTCGTTCCCTAGAGCCTGAACCCTAAACGTCCCTAAGCCTTATATATATATATTATTACTTATTTATTTGTTTGTTTGTTATCTTATTTACTTATATTTGTATTTATAAACCCCTAAACCCTATACCCTAAACGCGAAAGTCTAGCCATCCCTAGACCGTAAACCCTCAACGCGGCATCCCAGACCTCCGGGAGCCAAAACGTAGATCCCTTAAGGGGTTCCTGTGAAGTACCCTTTAGCAGCTAGGGTCCCAAATTCGGGGATCTACTTTTTAGATCCTCCCGGGGGTCTGGGAAAGGAGCTTAGCCTGGCTCACCGGCTGCTGCTTGAGTCCCGAGCTGAAAGAAGGCGGCGTTGGTTTTCTCTATTCTTTAATTCTTTTGGGGTGGTGGGTTTAGGGTGAAGGGGTTTAGTTGTGTTTGTGTTAGGAGGGGGGAGGCCGGGTTTAGGGTGTTAGTTTGTTTTGCGTTTGTGCGGGGTTGGCAGCAGGTTTTGTGATCTCTGTGGGATTTCAAGGCTTTTCTGGTCTTGTCAGGTTCTCGGGGCGCATAAGGTTTAAGGATGGTTTAAGGCGTCTTAGGTTTCAGGCGTTTATTAAGTCTTCGGGGTCTGTCCAGACTTAAGGTCTCGTACTGCTGATGATATAAAAATCCTGCAACACCTTAAGGACCCTGATTATGGGAATTATGGTATGTTCCTTATCATGGGTAATGCAGGATTTATGTCATAAACCTTGGTTCTTCCGGATTAAATTATGTTTCTATAAGCTTTAGATCTCATAGGTGTGTTGCCAAGACGTGTTCTAGGTGGGTTCTACAAGGACCTTATGTGGAGTTGCTGTGGAATTTCAATAGTCCTACCTAGAGTTTCTTTTGGGTTTAACCAATTTCACATTTAGGACCCTAAGCGGTAATCCCCAAAAGGAACTACAATGGAGACTATAGGTAAGCCCTGCGCCGTGTTCATCAAGGCAGTGTCGCGACTTGTTACGGGGGCCTGGAGCTGAAAGAAAAACCTTCGAAGGTTTGGTACAGGCTTTAGGGTTTGGGGTTTAGGGTTTAGACTTTAGGGTTTGTGGTTTAGACTTTAGGGCTTAGGGTTTAGAGATGAGGAAACCAGAAAGGCGCCCAAGCCCAAACCCTGAGGGTCCAGTAGTCCTGATTTGCGGCTTTTGCCAGCAAAATCCTTCCACCTTTAAACCCCAATCCCTGAATCCTAAGCCCTATAATCTCTAAAAGCCCTATAAGCCGAAAAAACCCATCCGCGAAACTCCCAAAATCCCAATAGAAGAAAGCCTTCGCCTAAACCCTTATCCCGAAACCCTGAACCCTAAGCCCGACCGCCTGCAGGGATTGTGAACTTGACCCTAAGGGTCCAGTAATTCGTCAAACCCTGAAGTACCACTAGAGGGCTTAGAGTTTGGCTTTAGGGACTACTTTAGGGCCACACTATTCCTTTTTTGTATTACTTGGACCCTCAGGGAAAAGGAATGCTTTGGGTTTACCTTGAGGTTTCTGTGCAAGGCGAAGGATTCTTACTACGCAAGTAATCAGAACATTGCCCACGGAATTGCGCTATTGGCTTTCCCTGAACCCTGTATTCCCTAAACCGTAAACCGTTTAGGGTTCAGCGCTATTGGCTTTTCGAGCAGGTTCTGGCCGGGTTTCTGAACATGCAGCAGCCACCATGATGGGATCACACCATTTAGGCTTATCTGCGGGAGGCAGAAGTTCGAGAAATCTTCCATAGCTGCTGCAAAGCTCGAAATCCCAAGCATTATGCAAATCGCGCACGAAAAAAACAACCAGTATAGCACAAAGCTCTAAACCCCAAAGGTTCTAAACGCCATACTCCATCTGGAGCTATCATAAGCCCAAATAGCCTACCTACTAGCGCTCCATTATTACGATGATTCGCCCCTTTAAGGGTTTAGAAATGTAGATGTGTTAGGCCCGGGAAATTGTAGGGTTAAGGTTTAGCGTACTCAACCATGCTCAACCCAAATCCCAAAGCAGGCAGCTACAACTGCAAAATCATCGACTTCGGGTTATCTGCGACCTTTGATCCAACCGACCCCAGTGGCGGCATCACAGATGCGGCTGGTTCAGAATAGAAACTTCGACCGTCGCCCTTTTACAGATACTTTGGATCCGGACCCCTAGACCCTTACCGTACCTAAACCCATACACTTTTGGGGCAGAGATCATGGTTCAAGAGAACAAGTGAAACGCCGTTTCTAGACCTCTGGCTTGGGCCGTGGTCAGGGTGGGCTGTTTGCGTCTTGGGCTTGTTGTAGCTGGAGTTTAGGGCTTAGGGTTTAGAGTTTAGGGTTTAAGGTTTAGTGTTTAGAGTTTAGGGTTTAGGGTTTACGGTTTAGGGTTTAAGGTTTGGGGTTTAGGGTTTAGGGTTTAGGGCTTAGTCTAGCTTGCCCTTTTTTGCGAGTTGCAGTTGCTCAGCACGGGGTGGCCTTCCCCCAGCCCTGAACCATGAAAAGCGCGCCATACAGGCAAAGGCGGTTGGGAATCGGCATGGGTATGCTACCACACCCAAACGGTCCAAAGATACTACCAGTTACTACCATTACGGACTTAGGTCCCAAAAGGCCATGTTACTTTTGGTCTTTTTCGGAAGGGACATGTTTCCGTAATGGCTGTATGTACGGACCTCCCTGGACGTTAAAGCCTTCAGTCGTTCCCTGCGCATGATCTGGCATCCGGGATTATTTGCGAGGCTAAGGTTGCGAAACTAGGCTAAGGTTTAGGGTTTAGGGTTTAGGGTTTAGGGTTTAGGGTTTAGGGTTTAGGGTTTAGGGTTTAGGCTAAGGGTCTGCTTGAATGCTACCTGTATCCCAACAAGCCAACCTGTTTTAGGTTCCACAGTGTGGTTTCTTTGTATGGGCAGTTCTCCAAACTAAAGTCCCTTTTTGGCTCCCAAAAATAGTACGGCACCGTTATAAAAAGGACCCCGAAAGGGACCCTAATTTAGGGAACTGCCCATATGATTCCTTAATCTACGTAGGACATTTTCAGGTGGGTAGTTGCCGTTATAGGAGCCTTATAGAAGGTCGATATACCTTATGGAAGCCTTATAGAAGCCCTATAGACCCTAAACTCCCCACCTGTAGTTTCCTTTAACTTAAGGTCTGCCCAATATAGCGCCCTTATAATAGCACCCTCATAGAAGCCCTATAGACGTCTATAGACCCATTAAGGAACCCTATTCTTAAAAGGTAGGCGTCCTGGGCTACAGGTAATACCTGTCGGTTTCAGGGTGCTGCGCTAGCTGGGCCTGCATCGTCGAGAATCTGGGCAGAATCTAACTTAGGGTTTAGGGTTTAGGGTTTATTTAGGGTTTAGGGTTGATTTAGGGTTTATTTAGGGGGACTGTTTTGAAGCTTTCGCTGGGCTTTGAGTATCAGAGTTGGGATATCCGTGGCTGACACACCCATCCCTGCGGGTCCATCTACCTACACATTAGAAGCATTGGCCTTTAGGGTTTAGGGTTTAGGGTTTAGGGTTTAGGGTTTAGGGTTTAGGGTTTAGGGTTAGGATTGGCCTTTAGGGGTTGCCGCTATGGCTACTTAATAGAGTATATGCTTCGTAGGCACAATGACTCTTAGTGAATGCCTTATGTCGTAAGGCTGAAGCCTAATCCCCAACTCAAGCCTTTCGCTGCAGGAAAAGCCGTGCAACCTGCCTTTTCAAGGACATAGACAAGTTACTGCCTTTTTCAAGGACATAGACAAGTTACAGAAACAGATGAAGGAACCTTGAAAAGGTTGGGTTGTTTAGATGCCTGGCACCTGCAGGTGACACGCAAGCTACGCTGCACTGGTACCCAGTCAACCCGTTCGGGTTTGATATTTGGAGTTTGCTCTTAGATGGCCCTTTTCTCACCTAAAGCCCTAAACCCCAAGTCCCCTAAACACCTAAAGCCATAAACCCCTAAACCCCAAGCCCCGTCATGTATAGTGTGTAACCCTCTCAGAACCGAAAGCCTGAAGCCCTACACTGTTCAATGTTGATGCTCTCCTTCGAAGCCTTTCATTCCGCCACCGCTAAACCCTAAACTCTAAACCCTAAAATCCTAAACCCTAAAATCCTAAACCCTAAACCCCAGGTAAATGGGACGCCGGCCTACATGGCACCAGAAGTCTGCAAAAGGATGGGAGACTCGCCAGCTGTTCAGTTCTGGCTTTCCGGGTCTTGCCGAACAAAGGCTTGTCCATCTCACGGTTCTCAAGGGTTAAGGATTTAGGGGTTAGGGTTTAGTGTGTAGGGTTTGGGTTGAGGGTTTACTGTGTAGGGTTAGGGTTTTGGGTTTGGTGTGTAGGGTTAGTTAGGGTTTTGGGTTCACGGTTTATGGTTCAGGGTTCCGTTTCGCGATTTCCTGGTACAGGCTAGACACACGTACGTCAGTGTTCCCTGAAAGCCCTGCGATTCCGGAATGAATGCAGGTAGTACTCTTTCACTTTTCGCTTGAGGGTACTCTTTTTTGAAATGGATCATCGGTCAAAGGGCATGTTAGATTATGGAGGAATTTCTCTTCGTCGTGACAGTACGATTTTCAACATTGCACTGTAACTTGTAACTTGGCCAGACCCGTGAACTTCCAAGCAGGTTTCTTTGCAGGTCCCTTTTTGTAGCAGCTCTGTGCGCGTTTGTTTGCATCTTTCTACCTGTAAGGAAAGTAAAACGATATTATGTAGATGCATATATATATATATATGTGTTTGTATGTACATATGTCTATACACACATACACGTGCACATATATATATATATATATATATGTATACACACACACCCCACACACACACACACATAGCTTACTTGTCTGTACATATATAAGGGTCTCTCATTTTCTGAGATTCCCTTGCAGGGACTGTTGCTAACTGATGTTCTAACCAAAACACCAACTCGAAGAAACATAAAAAAGTGTCAGTCTCTAACAACTAGGAAGCACGCCATTCCAAATGGCTCAACTTCCCGAACCCTGAACTTTACGCAAACAGAAACATCCAACCAACAACACAGCAAAGGCAAGTATGCAGCAAAAGCTGACGTTTGGTCCATCGGCGTTCTCACCTACGAGCTTCTCACGGGCAGTTTACCCTTTGGCGACCAGTCAACAAGAAAGGCTTTGAGGCTAATGGATTTCATAGGGTTCCTTTGAAGGCGTTTTGGGTTTCGTAGGGTTTCATAGACGTCAACTGAAGATAAGTTTTGACAGGGGCCTAGGGTTCCGTAGATTAGAGTTTGGGTGTTTTGGTTTATAATTGCAGGGCTTTCTGAATACTCTTAAAGAGAGATGAGGCTGAGGCTGTGTAAAGCTCAGCAATGACCTGCGTGCAAAGTCTCCTGCTCCTGCAAGTAGACCCGGAACCTTCAACACACAAACCACCCTAACTAAACGGTAGACCCTAAACCCGAAACCCCTCAACCCATAAACCCTGTACCCTAGACCCCAAAAACCTGTAGACCCTAAACACCTAAACCCTAAATCCCTAAGCCCCTAAACCCTAGAGCCTGAACCCTGAATGGACAGACCTTACACAGACACCAGTCAGCAGGTCGTCGGTGGATGGGAAAGACAAGTTGACAAGCATGTCCCGCTTTTGACATCGTCGTTGGGTAACTGTTTACGATGTGTGTGTGTGTGTGTAGTGTTACGGTTTAGGGTTTAGGGTTTAGGGTTTAGGGTTGAGGGTGTAGTGTTATCAAAGTTAGAGTGCTTTGGGACGTTGGGTTTGCAGCTGTGGCGGGTTAATTAGGCATGCCAGGGCCACGCGCACTCTTAGAACGCCGCGACCCCCAACCCCTGCCGTAATCCGACCCCCAAGCCCAAAGGATTGCACCCAAGAGCCTCCCTAAACCCTATAAACCTTAAACCCTAAACCCGATAAACCTTAAACCCTAAACCGTAAACCCTAAACCCTTAACCTTAAACCCTGAACCCTAACTAAAGCTTAAGCCAGACCCAAGATCCCCAAGCCACACCGCCAGTCCTGCAATTTCAGAAATGCCAAGCCGAAAGCCTGTGCTAGGGCTTAGAGCAGGGGTTTAGGCGGATGGGCATCATCCGGCATTACCTGAACCGGTAAGCAGCAATGGAAATAACGTGTGATGTATCACTGATGTCTGAAGCAGGAGTTTTGCCCATGGGCAGTAAGGCTTGAGGGACTTGAGTTGTTGAAACCCCTAAACCCTGAACCCTAAACCCCTAAACCCCTAAACCCCTAAACCTGAAACCCCTAAACCCTGAAACCCGAAACCCTAAGACCCCAAAACCCGGTGCTTTTCTGATACGTGATCTGAGGAGATGCCTCCGACTATTCCGGCGGTTTCAAAGAGCTGTTCGAGATCTTTGGCGCAAGAAAGGCTTTAGTCGTAGTAGCAGGTTACAGGGTTTAGGGCTTGCAGGGCTTTTAGGGCTTTTAGGGTTTAGGGTTTCAAGCAGTAGTCGTGCCGGTCGCCGTCGTAGTAGTCGTAGCCTGAACCGAGTTCACGGCCGCAGCACCCAGTTACAGATCCAGGAAGCTGCTTCAGGCTGCTTTGTTAGTTCGGACCCAAAGATACTGAGCCAGCGGTTCAATGTGTTCGCAACAAGATTTAGGGTTCTTGTGTATATACATATATAATCATATATATATATATATATATATATTTTTTCTTTCTTTATACGTGCCATGATCACAGTTAGGAGTGTTACAATACTTGTCGTCGGTGGTTGATCTCAGGTTTGCAGGAGGATTCAAGGTTCATTGCAGCTTAAGGTCCTAAGCTTTCCCTAAACCCTAAACCCAAAAACCCTAAGCTTTCCCTAAACCCAAAACCCCAAAACCCTAAGCTTTCCCTAAACCCTGAGCCCTAAGCTTTCCCTGAACCCTAAACCCTAAAACCCGAAGTTTCCCCTAAACCCTAAACCCCAATCAGCCCTAAACTTTCCCTAGGCCCTAAGCCCTAAGCCCTAAACGTTCCCTAAACCTTAAACCCTAAACCCTAAACCCTAAACCCTAAACCCTAAACCCTAAACCCTAAACCCTAAACCCTAAACCTTAAACCCTAAGCCGAAGGTGAAGAGTTTTCTCCATTTGGGGAGCTTTTCGAACCCTGAGGCCCCAAGACCTACCTGCACCCCAAACAACTTACCTTTTTGGGGGTTCCTTCCGGCTGATGATTTGAATCCTGCGCTACCCATAATTCCCATAGTTTAGGGTCCTCAAGGTAAAGCAGGATTTATATCATCAACAGTACTTTATTTCGTAGGTAAACCCTAAATTGTTGTCCCTGGTCCTTCGAATAGATTCATCAAGCTTCGAGACCCTGAGCCCCAAGCGTCAAAATCTAAACAGCGAATTCCTGAAACCGGGAAATCTCGAGAACAATGCCTGAGTGCGCAGGGTTCAAGCTCACGGGCAACGGGCTCAGAATGAAGGGTTGGGGTTGGGTGTACGGTTCATGAAACACATAATCCCGGATGCCAGATAATGCGCAGGTTGAATGGGTAGGGTTCTGGCTTTGCTTATGCCTCAGCTGCTCCTTTCCAAGTTCAACCCTGATATGCATCCCCCTGAACTCTGAATCCTAGAGCCCCTAAGCCCTATGCCGAAAACCATGACCCCTAAGCCTTGAGCCTAAACCCTAAACCCTAAACCCTAAACACTAAACCCTAAACCCTAAACTCTAAGGCCTACACCCTAGGCCCTAAACCCTAAACCCGTAGACCTAAAGCCCTAAGCCCTGAGCTCGAGCCCTGAAGCCCG